TACAAAGTACGATAAGGCGAAGTTGAATATCCAATTAGACGCAGTCGAAACCGCCACGGCTTTACCACGTAGTCTCAAGGGGTAAAGCTCTGGTGGGTAGATCCAACTCACGGGGCCCCATGTAGGTGCAAAGCTTGCAACAAACAGATAGGTACAGGCGATTACACCTTTCGCGGCACCCGGCGCATCGGATAAATCCCATGATTGCTCAGCTGTGTTGTTCAAGCCACCAGGAGGGGCTGGTTTGCCATATGAAGCCATAATACCGGCATTTGCAAACATCCAAGTCATCATCAAAGTTGACCCAATGAGGAGGGGAACCCGACGACCCCATCTATCGATGAATACGAGAGCGAAGATAGTCATAACGACATTTATAACGTATTGGATAGAGGAGGCAACCAAGTTGGCATTTCCTGACAGACCGGCCATGCCGAACACATATCTTGAATATGTATTAGCACACACAGCACTCTGTACCTCTGGAAGTAGATAATTGAAATCGGTTGTGGTTAGACTTACGTGATATAGAGCATCATGACGTTCATGCCAGTCAGCTGAGACCAGATTTGAGTGAACATGCCGATGTGAGTGCGATAAATCATGTTCGGTTTGAAGAGATCCAAATAGGATGCATCGGCATTCTGACGCTCAAACTCCACCATGTCGCGGATCTCCTGAAGTTCAGTTTGAACGAAAGCGTCATTGTGGTCGCCCTTGGCGTGAACCAAAGCAAGCACGTTATGGGCCTCTTCCCAACGGTCATGCTTTGCCAGCCAGCGGGGAGACTCGGGCATGATGAAAACCATGAAGAAGAGGAACACAGCAGGGATCATCTGTAATCCCCAAGGTAGACGCCAGGCAGAGGGACCATCAAGGAAGCTACTCCCATAGGAGATATAAAACATGATCAGGATGCCCCATGTGATGGCCCATTGTTGAGCACCCACGACAGTACCTCGCTTGCTGGGCTGTGCCAGCTCGGCGACATATACCGGAACCTGGGCACTCAGAATACCGACAGATAGGCCGTTGATGAAGCGACCAACGACAAGCTGGGCAATGCTGAAGGAGGAGCAGGAGATGGCAGAGCCAATACACCAGATGACTGAACCGACTTGGATAGAAGTCTTTCGACCGAGCCAGTCTGTCAGAATTCCGGAAATCAGAGCACCAATAAATGACCCGCCAGGCATAGCGGCAGAAATGCCGCCTTGGGTGCTCGAGGTAGGGCCACCGCATTCGTTCTTGTCATTGACACCAGTCTGGTTGAAAAAGCATCTGTACTGCTGTGTGCCAAGACTGGATAAATTGGAATGGATTAGAGGAAAATCTTGGAGAGGTACAAGGGTAAATGGGCAAAAGTATCAAAACGTACATGGCTGACATCGAAGCGATATCGAAACCAAACAGTGCACCGCCGATGACGGCCACCGTGGTGATGACGTAGATGTTTCCGATCGTATAACCCATTGTGAGGGTCTAAAGCCCTAAAGCTAGAGGGTAAAATTCTTCAAGGAGAGGGCAATTAGCTTGAGAAGAATAAAAAAAAACTCAGAGCCCAGCAGGGGAGAACATGGGTTGAAGTATACAACGGAACAATGTCTCCATCAAGCACGGGGCCTACTAATCAAAGAAAATCGGAAAAAGAAACATAAAACCTGGAAAAGGATCATCGAATCAAAATTCGCACCCGGGCCAACTCTTTAGAACCAGTCTAACCCAAGGCAGTAAACGCAAGCCAAAGCGCTTTTGAAAATGCGGGGGCGCCCAGGGCACGACGATATGGTTGGATAGATCAATGCACCAGCACAGCACTCTGACTGGATTAAGAAAGAGAAAAATAACTATGACACGCTGACTAGAAATATCAAAGTTACTCCTGTGTAAATCTGTCTTCTGGTATCAACGGTTGGACGACTCGCCCATACTTCCCCGGAATCCCGCATCTATCCAGGGTCTCGCGGTCACTGTCACGCTCGTCTTCTTTCAATCCCCGAAACTTTTATTGCCGAGTCTTACTGATGCTGTTTGGATGCATGTCCAATCATCCTTGTTTATTGCCCCGCTTGGACCCATAATCGTATGCAACTTCGAGGGTCGACTGTCAGCGCCACATGGTTTCATCGCGTTACTCTCCCTGGACATTTGACCGTTCGGGGACCGGCCTTTAGGGGAATTTCTGGACCATACGGATTGTACTTGGCCGTGAGAAATGACAGGCAAATTAAAGAGAACGAACTCGTTCCACAATTCACGCGACTCATTTTCCAAGATTTCTGCTGCAGCCTTCCATGGCATGGGCCCGGGCCAGTCAGCCCCTCAGTCTATTCTCATTGGCGCCATCTAAAGCACCCTGGCAAACAGCTTCTTGGCCAGCATCTCGGGGGTTCCGGAATGATGGATGCGCTCTCCGTACGTAGTGAACTTTCTTTCCTCCCACAGCTGCCTCACTCGTTTCTGGCCTGCCGCTGCTGCCTCTTCCCCTATTTGTATATGATCTGCAGCCACAAAGCCCCTTCAAAGCCAAGTTGTCCAGCCACCAAGCCACCAATGATCGTGGCGGATTGTTGTTGTTCGATGCAAAAATATGAAAAGGTGTCAATCCTACGGAGTACGGAGTAAATGCACACACAGTATGGCCCCTTTTCTCCGGGCATAGTCTATGACCGCAAAAAATCGCCTCAGTGCGCCTAGATTAAACAAGACTTTCTTTTCGTTTGTTGCCCTCATCGACTTGATCTGCACAAGTCTTGTTGCTATATCTGTATTGGCTGCCTACCCGCCGGCACATCTTGCGCGATTTTTAATATACTCTGAGACTTTCCAGCTCTTGCTTATGGCCTGACAAGGAAGTCAGATGATGATGATAACGAGTCATTCGCTTGGTACAAAGAAATGCCAACTCTTCTTAAGCCCCGTCTTGTCAGGCAAGACACGGTGGAGTCACTCTACGGAGTACCCGCAAGCCCCCTCGAACTCAAGGAGCGGGTGGGCGTACTTGGCTTAACTCATCCGACACCCTAGTTGCATGGCGCGAAGCCACACCATCACTCCCTGCTAAGTCCTGATGGGCATCCCCATCTCCTTTGGAACTAGGAATGGCGATCGATGGAGGGTCCAAGCTCCTCGCGGTTTTCCAATAAACATCCCTCCGGCCCGAAATTGATCTGACCAATGCTAGAGATACCCTCTCTCGCTTTCATTGCATTATTTCTCGGCAATACTGTACTTCTTACAACTAGCGCTGTATACTCAAGTGTAGTAGCTATTGGAAATGAATGTAATTAAAGAGAGTCTGAAAGGAAATACTATAAGAATGCCTTGGCATGTAATATCGGGAGCCACCACATTCTGATATTTCATTATTTCTCTCTAGTCACTTGGGCACCTGGACTCGTCAATAATACAAGTACACATCTCAGAATAAACATCTTCAACCTCCAGGCCCTCTCTAAAAACTTCCCTAATTCTTGATGGATGAACATTGAGATTTCAAGGGGTCAGGTGATCAATTGTGGCATTCTCGCCGGTTATCTCTTTCTCCTCTGCCAAACACTCTCTCTTACTGGCTAAGTCTCACTGGCACATCCCCTCCAGGGCTCCGAGTCCTCTTTACACTTGAGCATGCTTTGTGCCCTTGATCGATAACCTTCAGCTCATCACCCTGCTACCAACGTCGAAGTTATGGGCGATCCAACTAACCTCCTGCCGCTAGATCCTGCCAAATACCCCCCCCCCCCCCTTATTCCAAACGCGATTTCCTTCGTCATAATCACAGAGCAAACTCCACAATATGAAACCTCCTATTCAACCCGACTAGATTGAAGTTCAAAGACTCCTCAAGGCACAACCAGGAAATTTTCCTCCGGTGCTGATTGGCTACTTCAACTGAAAATCCACCACTTTTCAACTGGGCCCGACCGCGGAGGACTCAGAGAAGAAGTTCTTCGCGATCTCCCTTCCAGCTAGTCTCATCAACAATAAGCCTTCCCTTATCCTGCATAATGGGCCAACCGAACAAGATGCAACCCTTCCCAAATCCCGTCGCGGCAAAAAATGGGGTCGCCACAGACCGATGGACATAAACCGCTATTACCATTCGGCTAACAGTCCCCCTGCGGAGTCCCTTGTCAAATGATTCCTTCCTCCGCCAGCCGAGTCTGTGCGGCATTCACATTCGAGATTGACATTGATGGCAAAGGTATCGCCCGCCAGCGCTTCGAGTGGCGGAGCAGCCACGGCATTGGAAGTTAAGCAACTGGCCATCGGTCATTCCTATGGTTCAAAGTTGGCGTGGCTGTCGGGTCCGACCATAGGTCCAAGTGGCCGGAGAAAAGAGCGCGATCTCGACATTTCCAGTGATCGGCTAGACATTTTAGAAGTCATCGCTCGTAATGCCTCGATAAGCATGACCAAGGACTTCAGACTTGACTACTAAGCACTTGGTTAGCCAGGACGCTAAGCAATGATTGGAAAATGATGACTCTGGCCTCGGCCCTGCAATTGTGGTTACTGGATGTACTGGGCGTATCAATCTCAGGAATCACTCCCACAATCAATACTGCCTTTTCTTATTAAGAGCAAGACCTTGTATATGCGCTAAATTAACCCTGACATCTGGGCAGTTATACGCTGTATTTATTACAGACAATGCATACTATAGACAAGCTATTCATTTCCAATGAAGCATTCAAGTTATACCACTGGCAACAGACGCAGCACCTACCTAGTAGGATCTAACGTTCATAGTGTGGCTTGAAGCTATTAACCTAGGTACTAGTAGGAATATATCATCTCATGCCCAGGTGGAGCATCCCGAGGTCGCCACCAAGGAGCCGGTGACTTTATCTGAGCCCCGGCTGTGGGGAGGCCGGGGTCACCACGAAGCCAGCGGATATTTGATCATCCATCTGCATAATATTTAGGAAATCCATCGTGCAAGTCTCAAAAACTGCATTCATTCTACTAGATTGAACTTTTATCTACTCACTTTCGTCATGACGATACAATGGCCCCCATCAAAGAGAAATCAACTCGGCATCGCCACTTTATCTCTTGGTAACTGGAGAAGCCATCCTCTTGAGCCTAGACTCAGAGCCGCCGCCGAAGCTGGCTACGAGTGGATAGATCTTTTTGACGAATGCTGGGCGGCTTACTTGGAGGAGAATGACCTACCAGGGGACCAGTTATGGGAGCCGACTCCTCGCAATCTAGAAATCGCCCGGAAACTCGGTGAACTCGTCAGGTCACTGGGAATGCGTATTGCTTGTACCCAACCGCTTCGCCAGATCGAGGGCATCAAAGACCCCACGGAGCGTCGCGCAACCCTTGATCTAGTCGCCAAACGATTCCCTTTTATGCGGGCGTTTGATACTGATCTGGTCTTCATGTGTGCAAATATCCGCACTGACAATGGTGTGACTCCAGACCTGAGAACCGTCGCGCGTGACTTGGCTGAGCTCGGCGACATGGCGGCGGCATATGCACAGGCAGATGGCGGCCGAATGCTAAAGATTGGATACGAAGGGCTATCTTGGGCAACAAGAAATACTTGGTCATCTTCATGGGAAGCGGTTCGATTTGCCAATCGTCCAAATGTGGGCTTGATTCTGGATGCCTTCAACATTCTGGCCGTTGAGTTTGCAGACCCCTATAACCCAGCAGGGCATGGACGTATCTTTCCAACTCTAAAAGAGTCCCTTCAAATTCTCATGAACTCGCTTATATCGCTCACGGCCACTGTGCCCGGTGACCGAATCTTCTTCTTCCAATGTGGCGATGCAGAGTTGATGAACCCGACAACATTTTCTCCACCTTCAGATCCAAAAACCCCACTACTTCTTCCATGGTCAAGAAGCCATCGCCTCTATCCTCTAGAACAATCAAGAGGTGGCTATATGCCAGTCGAGCTTGTCACGGCCGCTGTGCTGGCAACCGGCTACGAGGGAGCGATATCGCTGGAGGTTTTCAATACATCTTTGAACGAGCCAAGTCGTGACGTTCCACCAATCCATGCCACAAGGGGCATGAACGGATTACAGAATCTTGTTGAAATTTCAAGGAGACTCCCTCCATTCTGGGAAACCAAGTCGCATGCTCGGGAAGCTTTAGGTCTTGTCGCCCAGAGACTACAGAATGGCAGGCATCGTCTTTAAATATCTCCTGAATCTTCTTGCAGTCAGGTAATTCCATCACTTCAAGTCGGCCACTAGCCTGTACTGAAATATCGTCGCTCCAAAATAGACGCCATCATTGTACAACGGTATCTGAAAAAGTCGCCAACTTCGCAAGGTTTCATTTAAATCATTACGGGGCTAATGAGGCTATGTGTGTAAATAAATTCGAGAGTGAATTGACCAGAAATGTAATAGTTATTTCTAACTGTCAAGGTCCCCGTTTTGATATCAAATATCCCTTAAAGCTAGTCAGTTGAGTGGTTTGCGGGGGTTTTTTCCTTCAATTTTAATTTTCGGATATCCAACATCTATCAAGTCGACCTCGGGAAATGCACCCCGAGAACCCAGAATACTACTATTATGCATGGTAGAGGTGCAGGTACAAAGGCTCAATATATTGGCAACTTACGCATCATTCTTGACCGTGACTATATCTATCTATTTCTCTGCGATAAGAACACCGCGATACCGCATTTTGCCGTCTTCTAAGGTCTTTAAGCTATCCGTCACGCCTTTCAAAGTCATCGGAAAGGTCATCTTCACTGGTTTAATGCCATGAATAGCAGCAAACTCAAGCATATCGCGATGAACTTGTCGCGCGGAGACGATGCCACCTTGAACGCGAAGACCATTCACCAGCAACGGCATGTAGGGTATCTTGAGATCACCCGCGTCCACTGAAAGCGGGGAAATGACACCGTTGGGGGCCATAATATTGAGGTAAAGTTTCCAATCCGGCTGGCTACTCGTGGTGACGATCAGATTATCGATGGGCTTCTGAAGCTTTAACTCCTTCACTCCCTTGGTGGCTAGGAACTCGGTTGCCCCCAATTCAATCGCCTCTTGCTTCTTGCTATCGGTACCTGAGAAGACGATGACTTGACAACCCATCTTCGCTGCAAACTGGATAGCCAAATGGCCTAATCCACCCACACCCACGATTCCCACGCGCGCGGTCGGACGCACCTGAGCGACGTGAAGTGCATTCCACACCGTCGACCCGCCGCACATCAAGGGACCGGCGTCCTCATTGGAGACTCTGTCGGGGATTTGGAACAAGAAGGCCTCGCGCCAAACTGCATGGCTAGCAAATGACCCCTGGTCAAGGTCGGCCATGGCATACATCTTGCGCTCGGCGCAGAGAGTCTCCCAACCAGTCAAGCACTCTCGACAGTGGCCGCAGCAGTCGTGTTCATATCCCCAGCCCACCCGATCACCCTTCTTCAGCACCTTCACGTCCGGGCCAGTCTCCTCAACCACTCCGGCTCCTTCGTGACCCAGCGCCATATCTGAGTTCCGATAATGAACATCGGTAAAGCAAACACCTGAATGGGTGACTCGAACAAGAACGTCGTCTCGTTTCAGGTCGTCGCGACGGGTCGTCTCCTGACGAATTGACCCATCTTTCCCCCCTTTGAACACAGTGAACTCGATCGGCATAGTGCAAGTTGCAAATAGTCGATAAGAATGCAGGTACCCAGGCGTGTCAGAGGTCCGGAAACTTGAAAGAACGTTTGAAGTGGAATTTCCAGACGGAAGTTGTAGTAATATACATTATTTAACAATTATTCTACACGTCACTGTGGATTAGATCCAGTACCTAGGTAAGATTCGATTGGCAGCGTTGTTCAAGTTCCAGTTAGTCGCCTACTAGTATTCTGCAAACGAACATCCATCGCGACGAAACCGGCTGGACCACCGATGTCATCTTCCCCGGCTTTTGCTACTACAGGCATGAAAATCGGGTCTGGGAGTAAAGCTTTTCAGCTTGTGTGAGACTCTAACCGCTCAGAAGCAGGACTCGGTTATTTTCTTTGGCCTATCTGAATGGTGAGGTCATTCATCTCAGACAGTTACGACACGCCAACCAACTCGACGCGACCCACCTCAAACTCATCATCCATGGATATCAATTGAAGGTACGATTTCTTCTGGTTTGATATGGAACTTTAAATTGGAGTGTCTGATGCTGGTATTGGTGCCTTGAAATAGCATCCTGACCGAGGACTTAGGCTGGCTTACACAGTCATCAGCTAGCTAGGAATGCAAATTGCAGTCACGGTGCTATTTGAATTATTAGCAGGCAGTAAACTTGACTCCATACTAACAGTCTAATCTACGCCTAATCAGTAGTAGATGCAATAACTACAGATAGCACAAATTGAATACACTAGTACTACTAACTGAATCGCGACACAACCTTACAGACTGCGGAGGTGCAGTAGGCCATTGGATGCAAACACCTACCCCGCCAGACCGTGTTATTTCAATAATACCATCAGCCCAAATACTCAACAGCAATATAATAATAATGCTATTCTGCATTTCTAGCCCCTAGCTGAAGGTAGATGTATTGTATTCCATCTCGTCCTTAACCTCATTCGTCCTCGTCCGATCTTCGCCGCCAGAATGATTCTGCCACTATTTCATAGGGCGGTGAGAATGGCGATATCGGCCAGCCCCCATTGGGAAAGTCGCGTAAAAAAAGTCTAATTGTTTTGGGCTTGTCGATTTCGTTTGTTTTACGCGTGGGGAGAAAAAAAAAAATTCCTAGAATTGATTCAAATCACGGAGAGCTTGAGAAGTGAGAATGATCCGCATAGATGGCGTGAGTAGTGCAAGCGAGCGTGCACAGGTCACCGAGAAGGATGCGGCATTGGCTTTGGTCAGTGATGTGGCACAAGAGATTGATCCGGTGATTGCTAAACGAGTGCTGCGGAAAATTGATCTCTATTTTATGCCTGCTATGCTGATAGGTAGGCGATCAGTCATTACAATTGCGTTTGATGGGTTCTTTACTGACAGGCGATTTTTGATCAGGGTATGGCATGGTTTACTATGACAAGGTGCGGCGAACCCAAACGAGGAATTCGAGATTCCGGGGCGATTTGTTGATATCATCCGCAGGCTATTTTAGGTAGTGCTTCTCTTTTCGGAATGACCACGGACCTGAAGCTGTCAGTGGTCGACAATTCAACAACACCTCCGTCGGTAGACACATCGCGTCTCAGCTGGGCCACTTCCATCTTCTATTTTGGCATGCTGGCAGGCCTTTACCCGATGACTCTCGTCCTTCAACGATTTGACACACGTTGTGTTCTTGGCCCCATCGTACTGATCTGGGCCATTGTTTGTGCAGCCACCGCAGGTGTGACAACTTGGCAGGGGCTCTTTATCCAGCGGTTTTTTCTCGGCAAGTTTCTCTCCAGCCAGTCTTCCTACGGAGCTTTGATACTAACACACAACAGGAGTAATTGAGAGTGTGATTCCAACTGCGTTCATGACCATCGTGAGCAGTTACTATACGCAAAAGGAACAATCTATGAGACAAGCCTGGTGGTTTTCTGGTACTGGTTGGTTTACCATCATTGGCGGTGCCCTGAACTATGGATTTGGCCAAATTTCATCGGGATCTTTAGCCAAATGGCAGTACATCTACATCCTTGCGGGTGGCTTGACCTTCATATTCGGCCTCTGGTGCTGCACTATGCCAAATTCCCCAGTATCGGCCTGGTTCCTGACTGCCGAGGAGCGATTTGTCGCCGTGGAGCGCCTTCGAAAAGGGCAGACCGGGGTCCGATGCCAGAAAATCAAGCTGGGCCATGTCAAGGAAGCGTTTACGGATGTAAAGCTGTACTTGATCGCCATCATGATGGCAGCGGCGTTAGTACTTTACGATTTTCCTCAGTGAGGCTCCTTTCTAACGATCTTCAGTTACACCATCAATGGCGCTATCTCCGGTTTCGGACCTTTGATCGTTTCAACCTTTGGATACGATACTTTGGACTCGATTCTCTTCCAATTTCCTGTCGGGGCCGTGTGTGTTATTTTCATTCCCCTGTGTGGCTACATACCGACAGTCATCCCGAATACACGCATTCCAATGCTCATAGCCTGTTGTCTTCCTGTCATTGCTGGATGCATCATGATTTGGAAATCAGAATGGGGGTACCAGCCCACAACTCCAGTTGTCGGCTACGCATTGACAGGATTTTTCGGCCCTGTAGTCAGTCTGGTGATCACTCTTGGCGCTAGCAATGTTGCTGGTGCGACAAAGAAATCAATCATGGCAAGTAGCACCTTCGTTGCATACACCGTTGGAAATATCATTGGACCACAGCTTGTCAAGAGTACCACCAAGGTCCAGCATTACCCCGAGCTGTGGCAAGGCATGATCATCTGGTGAGTTGATTGGGCACCAGTAGATGATAGGATGAAACTCTAACGAAATTGCAGTTACTGTATCACGATTGCTGCGGCGGTTAGCCTATACGTTGTCCTGTGGAAGGAAAATCGGCATCGAGATACATTAGAGTTGGATGAAATTCAGCGTGACAAGATTGCCTTTGATGATCTTACTGACAAACAGAATCCGTTCTTCAGATACGCTCTATAGTGCCCCATACTATGAACTCTCAAGCTTAATTGATATCGATCAATTCCGCCAGATTCGTACACGCCCATCCTTGAACGGTCTCCAATAGCAGCAAACCGCGCCAGTGTCAATAATAAAAGCATTTCGTATAGACTTTTTATTGGCCATTTTAGTGACATTCGGTTAATCAGATAGAATCACAATATACGCGTATTACATTGGCGTGGTAATCGTTGAAACTGAAATAGAGATCAATGCATCGCTTCATCGGACCTTGAACTCAGCCGGCGTGGGGCCATTTCCCACTAGTAATACATGAAGTAGCCTAGAACCTTGGAACAAGTTGCCGAGCGGAATCTTAAGATTCCGGGTTTCACGTACCCCGCAGGGACTATTATAGTCTCCTTCGCCCGACCATAGTCATCTTTAATTTTGTTCATTTCAAAATGGAATGTTCGAAAGAACTCAATCTGGTCAAATTTTCGGATAATGGCCAAACCACCACGCGGGATCCGCGTTTTGAAGTCACCTGGGAAACGACAGATCAACAAAATCCCCGGGCATGGTCGGTCTGGTACAGGAGTTTCATTGTTGCCTCTATGTCCTTTTCAACAACTGTAGTGTATGTCAATCGCCCAATATGAGCTGATGGTCAAATTACTCTCTATGGATCGAATTGACACGTGGATAGAGTCATCTATACGACGATGTACACATCGGGGGTTGAGGGCATGCAAGACGCCTTCAACGTTTCGTCCAAAATTGTTGTGCTTTTGGGGTTGACCACAAATCTCTTTGGCCTGGCGATCGGCTCCGTTGTTCTTTCATCGCTCTCGGAGATCTATGGTCGGAGACCTGTGTACTTGATATCTGTTTTTTTATTCGGTCTCCTGATTTTGCCTGTGGCTCTTGCGAGAAGTATCGAAGCTGTGCTGATCAGCAGATTTTTTGGTGGGTTTTTCGGGGGTGTCATGATCGCGAGCGCACCTGGAAGTGTGACTGATGTGACTGAGGATCAATATCGTGCCCTCGCTTTAAGTTGCTGGAGCCTAGGGACAATGAACGGCCCTGTCCTAGGTATTGATCCCCTTCATACAGACAATTGCGAGCGATTCCTTCTGAGCAACACTAATGAGCATCTTCTGATACAGGTCCAATAATTGGCGGTTTTGTCTTTCAATATCTTGGATGGCGCTGGATAAACTGGCTTGTCCTAATTTGCACGGGTGTATCGTTAGCCTTGATTTTTTGTGTCAAGGAGACATATGCACCTGCTCTTCTGCGAAACAAAGCCAAACAGCTTCGATTGGACTCGGGTGACCAACGCTGGTGGTGTCATCATGATCACCAAGAAACAGGGCTCCGGATGCTCAAGTCTAACCTGATCAGACCTGTTCGTATGATTGTTTCGGAGCCGATCTGGTATTTCCCTTGTCATTCTTTCCCGGCATTCAATAGTGAAGCTTTCTAATGCCACTTTGTAGCGTCTTCTGGAACCTTTATGTTGGAGTCGTCTATGCTGTCCTCTTTCTTTGCTTTGTGGCATATCCTATAGTATTCGAAGATATGCGTGGCTGGAAACCTGGGGTTGCAGGACTTAGCTACTGTGGCATCGGAGCCGGCACAGCGATTTCAGTTATGCTGGAGCCACTGATACGCAAAGTCATCGCGATGCATCCCAATGACCCCAATACTGGCAAGCCAACACCAGAGGCTGCTGTATTCGCAGTCTGCGTCGGTAGTGTACTAATCCCGGCTGGGGAACTTTGGTTTGCGTGGACAGCAAAGCCATCCGTCCATTGGATTTGCCCGATCCTTGCCGGATTGCCTTTCGGTCTTGGGAACGGGTTGACTTTTATATACGCAACCAACTATATTGCTGGAAGCTATACTGTCTATGCTGCTTCGGCACTATCTGGGAATTCCATTATTCGTTATGGACTGGCTGGTGTGCTGCCTCTTGCTGGGTCAAAAATTTATTCCACGCTGGGGCCCAACTGGGCTGGAACAATGTTGGCTCTAATTGAGTGTTCTCTAGTCCCAATCCCCTTTTTCTTCTACAAGTATGGTTATAAAATCAGACTGAGAAGCCCCATGATTGGCCAAAGAGACAAAAACGCTCATTAACGGTACGTCAAATGCTACCACGCCACTCGATGCGTGCCACCACCTTCCGATCACCAGCCCAAATTCAACATTACCTTATCATTTTTCGCATTCGATTTGGTTTCCAAAAAGCAAAAATGGAATCCAAGTAATGAAGACATTTTACATAACCGTTCAGAGGTTACTTATCTTAGGGGGTGAATTTTATATAAATATCATATACCAACTTGCCACTAATAATTACTATTTTCAACCCTTGGAAGAAAGAAAAATGAAATAATACTACTGATAGGGCTTGGTATAACGCCCAAGGGTCTTTCGGGGGTAAAGATGCCACATCTCAACTTATTGAAAACGATGGCCTCTAGGGAGGATGAAGATGATCCTTTATTCAAGTAGCATATTGTTCTTGATAGAAAATGAATTGAAATTTTGAAAAGGAAATCTAGAATCAGATTTCAAATCGAAATTAAATAATCTCTCTTTCAATCCCAAACTGGGAGGAGGTCCGCGTCTAATCCGTTTGCGAAAAGAGACTGGAGCCATTCCATCCCATCATCTATCATCTCTCCTGGGTATGATGCATTCAGGTCAAGATCTACCGGTGCTATATGCTGAGACGAGGCACTCTTTGGAGGACATGTGTTATCCGACTTATCTCCTATCTCAAGGATATGGTGTGAGGAAATACTCATTCCACGGGAGGGTGCAAATTTTGAGATGTCAGTCCCTTCAGGTTCTTTTCGAGAGTCGGCTGAGGAGTCTAGTAAACCTTGTGGTGGACTGTTAACTGTTCGAACATTTTGAAGATCGTGCCTTTGGGCTCTTGTGCGTATGGCAGGATGCAAGTCACCTGGGCCACCTAGTAAGCAGAAGTTAGAATTGATAGAGCTTGCATTCAACTGCATTGCCGATGAACATGTGTTAAACTAACCGGTTGATGCTGAAAGATTTGGTCGCCCGATTTCGTTGACTAGATGATTCCGGTGACTGTTGTTTAGAGATGACGATATGTCCAAAGCCCTGGTATCCTCGGAGTGGTGATTATTGGCAGACAAGATAGCGTCCGCCATTTGCTTCAGTTTTCCGACAGTTCGTATCATTTTCCCAGACATCCATGTTTTGCGGCAGTGCTCTCTAAGTGAAACCGTGGCCTCCAAAGTCAGATCTCCATAGGCACCCTTGAACGACGGTTGTTTAATTATGAGACCTAACGCAATAATGGTAGCACTCGTCAAGTAGTGCAAGAATGGAAATGAATATTTCGGGTGTTCTTCAGGGACCTTTTTGAAATCGTCGATAATGCGCTGGGCTAAGCGCATGCATGTAACTTCATTTTGGATGATTTCAGGTTCATCAGTAGGTATTAACCTTTGAAGCATGGGTTTTCGAATCAAAAGGTGGATTGAAGACCATCTCTATAAATATTGGTTAGATCAAATAAACTTTTGAAGAGACAACTTACAATGCGCATCATGAATTGCTGCTTGACTTGCCACCAGGCCAGTGCCTTGGAATCATGGTGGCTTGGGCTGAGTGGGTCATAAGAAAATTCATGCGAAATGTACTTTTGAGACTGCACGATGAGATGCTCCAGATACTCATTCAGCAGCGTAGTCGGAGTCTTGTCAGATGTGGCAGCTCCGTAAAGTGCTTCCCATACCTTACCAATAACTCTGGAGTAACTAGTCATTGCTATCAGATATGGAACCATAGTTGGGCCTTCAGTCCGTTCTTTTCCAAATTCCCCTGTCGTCACTGGCAGGATTTCTTGATATTTTTCCAGCCTTTCGTCGCTAAAATTGTGAGGAAGTCCGACATCAACATTCACATCTTGAATCAGGAATGGTCGACCGGTCTCGATAGCTAGTCTTCGATCTAGTAGGTAAATGCACCACCAAAGCCTACGGGCCATTTCCCCTTCGAATGGAGTCATGGCATCGACTATCCTTTTCCTCTGGATTCCTAGGTGATGCGCGTGGGATATCGATAGAGCTAAAACCTTTTCGGCAGGTCCGTGAGCATCGAGGCGGAAAAGGTAAATGACCTAGCAAATATCAGCTATTATGTATACCCCGAGCTTCATTCACGCGGGAAATAAGAAGCTAAACTTACCATCAAAACAACCGTTTGGAGAAGAAATATCTGGTCTGTACATTGACTAAACCCATCAAGGAGATCGCCGAAAGCGTCACGCGCAGCACTGTAAAAACTCCAGCCTGCCGAATATGGGCCCTCGTCTCCCTCGAATCGCGAAGATTCCACACATTTACCATTCGCGAGACACAGCAGTATATGAGCTGCCTGAAACCGCTGGGCTTCACTATTACTGCTGCAGCTTGATTCCTGATCAAAAGAGATGGTCCAAGTTTGCTTGTAGAGCCTCCACACCGCTGGAAGATGAAGAAATGGGACAAGAACATGTACTTCGTCGCAGAAGGTATGCATAATGACTTCCCATTGGTCTCGATCGGGAATTATACCATGCTTGCGCAAGACTCTCTGTGTAAGACTTGTTCCTTGCTCCTTAAAACCTCGAAATGACGACTCGGGAGATGGTGTCAGATTGGATCTAAATTGACCATTTGGTGACGTTGACCTCTCGCGGGAGTATTGAACGCCCATCTGCTCTAGTCGTCCTTCGACCACAGTCAGATTGTGGGCGATAGACGTCTCGCCTGAGAACGCCTGGACCTCGGGAGAAGAGCTCTTATTAGAAAAGGCTAATTCATCGCCTTCTCTGAAGCTTAATGCTATCTGTTCTTGTCTGGGTGGAAGGCCAGCATCATCGTGGTTCTTTCCAGGCGGTTTCGTGCCATCTGATTCTAAGGTTCTCATCAAGTCGAGTTCTCTCTCCAGTCGCGTCAGTCGAGAACCGAGGTCATCTCGAGGCCCAGATGTGACACCGCTTCCTCGCCATCTTCCTCGCATATCTGTTCCATGTGTTTGGCAGTCGCGCCCCTTGGCTGAGACAATTTTGACATGGGACATTGCCGTCGCACTTCGTGGATATTAGCTCATACAGACTCTGCCTCGTTACAACCCACTGATAGGATTTATATGTACCTTGATTTTCCTCCTGTGACACTGGTCACTGTAATATACGTAAGTTCATGTCCGAGGCATGGGAATTAAAACAAAAAAGACGTGCGCCGTGCATACCATGCTCTTGATGCGTACTGTGCTCTTTTGGCTCGTTTAGGCGGTGGCTGGACAACACTCTGCCCCTGACTACTGTCTGTACCCCGTCGCATCTAGTTGGCACCTCGGCGGGCTCGATCCACTAGATTCCAGCCTTTGGTCTGCTCTGGTGTTGACGGCATCAAGTTTCCAGGGAAGCGGAATTTACGTGGAGGCCGAGTGGGGTCCTTCGGAATCTTCGGAATCTTCGGCTGTGGGGGCGAAACCCAGAATCCACGAATTCAACCTTGAAAGACTATGAAGCGACGGGCAAAATGAGAAAGTGTGCGAGAAGATAAGAATTGAATGCATCATATGCCACTGCATTGCTTGGATGAAAGGTATTCTACGAATCATTTTGAAAATTCTTCCTCACTTATTTCGATGAGATTTATTGAAAATCAATATTAGTAGTTACTTGATGCCTCTGTAACCTCGGAAATGATCTCGGTCAACAAAGTCAGTGCTGCATAACTCGATCCTCGGATTACTAGTAGTTATCTACTGAACTTAAGTGTCCAATCAGCTGATGCCTGATTCATCCACCTGCGCACCTAGGTATGAAGAGATCTATCGTCCTGGCGATTGAGTAGTATTAAACACAAGGCTATCCTGTAACTTTTGGGGGTACTTTAGGTACCCATCGGCTCATAGTACCTGCGGCTCTAGCAATTCCTTGTTGAGACCTCGGGAATGAAAGCGCAATTGCGTTTCCCACGTCAACGTCATTCGAGAATATAGTATTCCAGCTCTGAGTAGTACCAGTCGCACCAATGCCGAGATCCCAAAGTCTGATTGAAATGAACGCTACCTAGCCCACCTGCTTTCACAGGCAGCGTAAATATTAAGATAAGCGGCGCGGTCGGGTGATTAAAGCTTTTTGTTCGGCTTGATTGCGAAATGTCGCAAGAGGCTCCATTTCTCTGGTGACAGTCAATCCAACTGGAAGTGGACAGATTGACTAGCGAGATGAAGAGAATGACTGAAACATTTTCAGTCAAATATCCGTCTATCTCAGATAATTTGAGTTTGAATCAGTTCGTTATTAGGCTTTATACTCTTCGCTCTTTCTCCGCACTGTGTACAATTGTTTCATGAATGACCTTAATTCCGCCACCCTGGCTACCATGGCTCTGAGCATCCCAGTCCCCTTCTCCAGCTGTGCAGGTTGGAGGTTGTTGTCGTGAAGTAGGTAATATCATTTGCTCATCGCTTGTAGTGTTCCACTGCGAATCAGCTGGGAGAGAAAGCGGATGACGGAACTTCTTGCGCTTAGAATACCCGGTGGTGTTTTCGCCTTCGGATAAGGGGTAGGCTGGATAGCTTTGCGAGCCACTTCTTGTTGTGATGAACAAACCTGCGCGGCGAGCAACGCGACGGATAAGGGGATATATCATAGGCATATTTCCAATAACGACGGCGACGAAGGTCTCGCGACATGCCCAACTGCCAGCTTGTTGCGCACCATTTGCACCAGCCTAGTAGAAGAATCAGAGATTAGATCAAAAATCAAGGTGCAAATTGAAGGAGCAGCTGTTCTTACTGTCAAGATCAAGACACAGCGCAAAATTCCAGCCATCATGACAAATAAGCCACCACTAAAGAGGACGAGAAGTTCCAGTTTTTCCCTCCAGCGGAGTCGAGCTTTGAAGAGCATCTACAAAGTACTCCATCAGCAATGTAGACAATAGCATGCTTTGATCACCTAGGCAGGTTCAAGTTGTAATAACTTACAGGAGCCGGTATGCTAATGAGGTAGATATCTGTAGCCACATTGAGCACCACAGTGACGTATATATCGATTTTGGATACAGCGGGTTGGCAATGATCTAATGATGAATGATTAGTCCCGAATTCAGTCAGATACAGTCCTAGAAGGAACCTAATAAGGACTCACTCCCAGGGTCCGGGTATATTTGCCAGTTCTTGTGCAAGGGATAGCAACCGAAAAGAATGGAGCAAATAGTGGCAATGTATGTTGTAGCTATCAAACCATAAGCAACATGGATCCGAACACGCATGTTGATCAGGCCCGCTCTGGCTCTGTCGTCAGTGGCTGTTAAAGTTTGTTTCATTGTTCGAAGGACTTACGTCAATCGAGAATAGAAGATGGCCATGCATGTCTTCAACAGCCACAGCAGCAGGGTGTACAAAGACCAGCCAGCCACCTGCACCTTTGAGCCTCCGACGCGCAAGCGGTACTCTTCTGAGCTATGGGATAGTGTCCTGCGCTGCTCATCGGTTATAGAATTGTTGGCAAGGCCCATAAACCACGCACCGACCATGTATGCGGCACCAGTCTCCAGTCCGTACACTACCTAGACTGTCTGTCAGTACCACAGCTCGAAACATTGTCGCATGGCCAATAATGGAATAGCACTACTCACACATGCCAGGAGCATCAAATAATCATCTGCTTGAAAATTCCGCGGCCCGACCATGACCCATCGTGCTGTGGTACGTAGACCGATGACCACAATAGCCACCGCCAGAAGTGTGAATGCCTCGGTGTTAAAGTCACCCATGGTTCGACCGTAGCGGGTTTCTTTTGGCAGTTTGACCTCCGGGCGTTCGTCGAGATAAAGAAGAAATAAGACTCAAGGCCCCGGGGTAAAGAGGGAAAGTAAGAGAACGAGACCCTCCAGCCCGTTTCTCATTGGAACCAGGCCGGACAAAGAAGCAAGCCCGCACCCCCGGTCGATTTATAAACGGCACAGCAAGGCAACACCATGGGAAAATCCCCCAAAAATGAGCCTAGCCGCCAAACCGCTACGGGTGGGAGTGGAAACTGCTCTTTCTATGGAGTCGACCTAGTTTATGGATCGTGCTAACTAACTAACACGCAACGTGAAACGATGACAGGTCAACTCCAAAGCCGCCGCCAACATATCGGTGGATACTCGTCCTGCCGTACCCCGTGGGTCTTTATAACGTCCCGAAAAAGTGTTCGAGGCCCAGGCTCGATTACCCAGTCTTTTATCGTTCCGACCAGCAGGTTCCTGGGAAGTGGATGCGTGGGAAATAAGTCAGGAAGAAACCAATCCACCGTGCCCCTCCAAGCTCAACAGGCTGATTGCTCATCGGGGAGATGATCGACATTGCAGAAGTCTATACGGCGTACAGAGTAACAGCTTTTGAAAACGAAATTTCAGCTAGGTCTCTAGCTCTCAGATCTCTCCAATGCAATCTGTTACACGGTCTAGGGACAAGCTGCAACTGGAATTGGGGAAACCTTCCTTGTCCAGTGGACGTCTGCTGGTCAGCTGTCCATAGCCGGGCCAGTCATAGATCTTGCAAATTGTTGGTTGGCGATGCATCCGCAAGGTTAGGTGTTAACGGCAATACCGCGGATCTTAACAAAAAAAAAAAAAGAATATTGACAAAAGGTACGGATGATTCCATGCTAGGAATAAATGAGCAATGAATAATAGCCGTTCCAGGAGGTATTTAATCCCAAATATGGAGTTCTGTGGCTACGATGCTAGGGTCACGGGCCTTCGGGATGTGGGTTCGCCTGGGCAGAATGTACTTGCTTCTTCTATTTTCATTTTCTTTGTTTTGTTTTGTTTTCTTTTTTTTTCTTTTTTTTTTCTGTCCCATGCTTTCCTATCGATTTTCCTCTGCCTCGTACGACTTTGTAGCTTCGGTTTCCTTGGGTTTTCAGTATAGAAATCAATCTAAGAAAGTTTTATCCAAACAGTAGTTTCAGTTCAAATCGCTCGGAGAGATTACCGGCAATAAAATTGTGATTTTAAATAGTTCCTCCTTCACTCCCATCGCACCTGGTGGTCTGGATCGGCATTTCAGAATCGAACACAAAGCTCCCTGGTCCATGACAGGCGGGGAACCCCCGGGCCTTCCAGTCCGACAGCCCCGGTGGAGTTGGCGAGGACCCGCCGTGGAGCGAACGGCGAGTGCAATTCCGGTTCTGCTCTTCCCGCGCCATTTAATCCCAAAGTCGCGGTTCATTTCTAGAGCGCTTGGTCTGATTCGTATGCGATCGGTTGTTTGTCAATCGGTAGTCCTTCGGATCTAGATAGGAACAGGTCTGAGCTCCCTGGAGGGCTGCAGGCCGATCGTTCCTAACCGGACATTGATTACAATTCATCCTGGTCTTGGAGGCAATAATCCAGATCCCCCCCGAGTGACGAGCAAGCCAAGAATTGTCCCCCTTCGAACCGATTTGATTTTTTGAGTTTTTATGGCAGGAATGGAGGCCCACCGCAAGAACCCTACTCCTCGTGGGTTCTCAAAGACTTTTGACGTGCGTAGACCGCGCTAAACTGGACAAAAGACGGGCTAGCGCAACGCCCTCGGGTGGACTGGTTGAAAGAAAAAAAGAGAACCGAGAAGGTCAGCGATCGGCGCGTGGGTCTGCATTTGGCCATCTCAAACGACGGAGCGCGGATTGAGTTTTGATTCCAAGCAGATAGCCGAAGACTCACTCTTTGAGAGCACCATTTCACTAAGGGGTCAGCATCCCTACTCATACAGACTACTCCGTACGGAGTACTCTATATTTACATACCCTCAATTAAGGAGTACAGGCTTTGGTTCTCTTTCCTGGACTTGAGCGGCTGCATGCAAAAGGTAGCCAGGGCAAGGGGGAACCCCTGAACACACACTCACATCCACGCAGCACACCCCTCCCTCGCTTCTTTTTGTTTCTCTTTCTCCCTCGCACATAGTCTAGTGTGCGATAAACACGGATTCTGTACTCCTTCATGAGTATGGAGTAGAGAAACAAGTTGCACGTAACTTTGTTGATGTGGATACGCCAGACCCAACCCTAATCCAGGGGTGTCGGATTCATTTCCCCGGTAATTGCCTTTTGACAGGCCCACTAGGCCACTAGGGGACTGTCCTACCTCGAGGCTAGACAGCTTAGTTCGAGGCTCGCGCAGTTGGGCTGGAGAGAAACGCAGGCTCAAAAGTGTCGGGGGGGACCCTCTTTGTTCGCAAACTGTCTTTCGCTTTGCGGGTCAGTTGACTCTGGTTACAACCTTTACGAAATGGACAACGTGGACCTGGTGGTCATTGGCGCCGGTGAGTGACCCTCTGCTTGCTTTTGATTTGACTTCAATCTGTTGTATTCTTCCCGACTGTCGGCGAATTCTTGGGGATTTTTTCTTCTCCCAACTTTTGCAAAACATCTGACCGATGTCAATCGACCAGGCTGGAGCGGGCTCGCCGCCGTCAAAACCTATCGTGAAATAAATCCCGGCAGCAATGTCCTTCTTCTCGAGGCTGCCAGCTCCATTGGTGGAGTCTGGGCAAAGCACCGACTTTACAAAGGACTCAAATCGAATAACATGCTCGGCACATACGAGTATAGCGATTTCCCCATGGATGAGGCGACTTTTGGTGTGAAGCCCGGCGAACACATCCCCGGCGACATTGTCCAGAGGTATCTGGAGGCATACGCGAAGAAATTTGACTTCATCGATCGCATACGACTCAATCACCGAGTTCAGAGTGCCGAGCACCGCTTGGACGGAAGCTGGCAGCTGGTGGTGTCGCACGAGGGCTCCTCTTCACGGTCTGTCATCGACACAAAGAAGCTGATTGTCGCGACGGGCATCACCTCACAAGCTTACCTGCCTACCTTTACCGGGCAGGAAACTTTCGATGCCCCGCTCTTCCACTGTCGTGATTTTCTACAGCACGAAGACAGTATTCTGCGCGAAGGCGAGCGCGTGACGGTCTTTGGTGGCACTAAATCAGCATGGGATGCGGCTTACGCCTGTGCGACCTCAGGGATGAAGGTGGATTGGATCATTCGCGAGTCTGGTCACGGTCCGAACTGGATGGCTCCTCCATATGTAACACCGTTGAAGAAATGGCTGGAGAAGTTGGTGACTACACGGTTCCTGACGTGGTTCAGCCCTTGCATTTGGGGCTCGGCAGATGGATTCCCTCGCGTTCGACAGTTTCTGCACGGCACTTGGCTGGGAAGAAAGATCGTCGATGCCTTTTGGGCAGTTCTGGCAGACGACGTGGTGCAGCTAAACGGCTTCAACAAGCACGCCGAGGTCAAGAAGTTGCAGCCATGGATTTCTCCCTTTTGGATCGCCTCGTCCCTTTCCATCCTTAACTATCCAACTGACTTCTTCGACCTGGTCAAAGATGGAACCATCAAAGTGCACATTGCAGAATTGGACCATCTTTCCGATCACACAGTACATCTCTCAACAGGCGAAGCCTTGTCTACTTCGGGCTTGATCTGTTCGACAGGTTGGCGAGCCACTCCGAACCTCAAATTCTTACCAGAGGGAATTGATCGCGAATTGGGATTTCCATGGAGTAGGGACCCTCTTGACGAGAAGTTGGTCAAAGCTGCAGATGAAGAGATCATGAACCGATTCCCTCGCCTTCGCCATGGGCCCACTCCCAACCCCAAGTATCGCCCGTTGGACGACGATGCCGAAGCTTCCGCACCGCATCCATTTCGCCTCGCTCGCTTCATGGTACCTCTCTCACAAGTTCGAGATCGATCTCTTGCATTTATGGGCATCACCATGACCATCAACACCGCTCTCATTGCACAGACTCAAGCACTCTGGATCTCGGCCTATTTCGGCGGCCAACTCACACCAACCGCCGTCGAGAAATGCCCAGCCTCCGTACGCACCCAATCAGACATCAAAACTGAGGATATAGAAGAAATTAACCTGACTTGGGAGACCGCCCTGCACTCCGAGTTTGGCCGGTATCGATACCCCGGCGGGTTCGGCCACCGCAACCCGGATTTCGTCTTTGATGCCATCCCATATCTAGACCTGTTGCTGCGCGACCTCGGTTTGGCCCCGGAGCGAAAGCAAGGTCTGATCGCCAGGTGCTTCCATCCTTATGGTACTGAGGATTACCAGGGCCTGGTGGATGAGTGGAAGGCGACTCTTCCGATCGAAGGAGCAGCTGAATAGTCTCTATTCAATTTTTGTTTCCGTTTTGTGAATTATACTATTCGCATTCCGCGAGATACCCCTTACCATTTTCCTACTTCCAAGGTCGATTTGACGATACATGATAGTACAGCATAAATTACCTAGGCATTTTATCAATGCAATATAACTTGAATCTATTGACGCATCCCGACTACCCTATACCTACCAGCAGACCATCTCGCGATTTAGAGCAGCAACCATCAAAAAAGGCGACCATTTTTAATGGTACATCCCCTTGGACAATTGAAATGTATCTTCTATTAGCTCTGGTTCGATTCAAATCTCAGATAGTGAAAGGGCATTTTAGTCGGGGTCTATAGACAATATGAAGGCGATAGCGCAGGTTGGTACTGTTCTGATGAGAGTCAACCTTGTTTCGGGATAGATCGGTGGTGAATTTTCTGTCAGCGAGGCCGTTTTAGTCCACGCTGGATCATATGGCATAATTATATTGAATGGCATGTAGGCCTAGACCATGAGTGATTTACATTAGACCAATCTACCATTGACAAAAGCGGGATCCTTGATGATGATATTTACCGCCAGGATCGTTATACCAATAAATTTCTACGGTCGGAAATCCTTTTTATAGCCTGGGAATTGTAAATAGATTATGGTAATCAAGGTGATCTTAGCGACTGGTTTCTCGCTTCCATCGTACATTACTAGTACTAGTATCGGGTGCTACGTGGATTCAACGAGAGGAAACGCCAGCTACATCAACAGAGACATCGTCGGATAGAATGCAACTGAGATTTTAGCTCGGACTAAGACTAGAAATTTGGCCAGTATTTAGAAGGATTTTTACTCCCTTTTTACTATTCTCTGCGTTTTATATGGAATCTGTAATATTGACCTGCGATTTCTCGATTACTTTACCTATGATCCTTCACGGCCTTTTGGAATGCATCAACATAATCAAAAATGCTTCTCTTGAACCTCCGTGTCTGAGTCTTCCGGTCAACGGTTTGCATGCCGTATCGCTGGGCAGAAGTTCCCCACTCGTTGTTGCCAATAAACGACCACGCGAATGCACCAACGATAGGGACTCCGTCTTCATCTCTCGATTTCGCCAGTTCTGCAATATAATTTGTAAAATACTCAGAGCGTAGATAGTCGAAGCATGCTTCATCTGGTGTCATCTCTTCTTCCAAAAGTGCATTCCAGCCGAATTCTTCAGTGATTACAATGCTTCCGGAGGTGTGGTAGATGTCATTGTAACATTTCAGTGCCGGCCGAATGTAAGTGGGCGTAATATAGTTATACATAGTAGAGGGGGACCCGATGAGCTAGCCGTTGGCATCATAGGCTGTAGTATTGACGCAGTTAGGCCACAGTGAATGAGATACATTCGCCGCACATGCCTCAACCCCATCATCGGGTGGGGTGGCGCTCATCTGGCTGTATGCATCGATTGCCAGGAAATCGACCGTCCCATGAAGATAAGAGAGATCTTTGGTCTTCAGTTGGGTGAGGCTCGCTCCAGTGGTATTTTTCAGAGACTCTGGATAAACCATTCCCCGAACCGTGGGGCTAAGAAGGATTTCCAAAGAGAAATAATTACTCCGATGGGCTGCAGCCAAATCGTCAGGATTGCTGAATCTGCGTGGGAAAGCAAATTTGTTGGAGATCTTCATTGTTATTTTCCCTGTAGCGTTCAGCTTCTCATGATAGCAATGCCAAACCTTTGCGTGGACCATAAGCATTTGTTCAATCAAATCATCAGTGGTTATTCCTGCAATCGACTTATGCACAGAGTAGACTTTCGCTCACATTATAATATCCATGAAATGTATCCGCCATAATGTTAGGCTCGTTAAAAGTGACCATAATGGCACCCGATCTGCGAATCTATCGGGTTGTCAGATGCCACTGTCAAGGTTGGAGAGTAGCTGCCATGAATATTCGAATCGCCTGTCATAACAATACGAGCATAATACTCAAATACCGGGACGAAAGAAGCATTGCCGTACCCTAAATCAATTAGTAGCTTTTCTAGATAAGCAGGCAGATTCCGACTGACCCGTATGCTGATATCCGATCGGACCTTTCTCTCCTGTGACCAATGTAGCAGGAGTATCAATATGCGTCAAGGTCACAATTGGAGCAATTCCGTTCTCGATGCAGAAACTAATCATACTTTTATAATGGTCGAGAGCCTGCATGTTGATTGGGGATCCAGCAACCCCAAACGGCACCACAAGGGGCCAGGCGATTGAAAATGAGTAATATGGGATCCCAATTGCTGCCAGTCGAAGAATTTCTTGCTTATAAAGATAGTAACTGCATTTTTAGGAAAGGAGTCAAGAGGTGTAGATTTGGTTTCCTTACTGCATATCAGCAACATTGGAATCATTCCCTCCGGCTGCAAGTCCCAAGCTGTCCACGGATGATGGTCCGCGGCCTTGATCCATCAAGCCTCCCTCATACTACTAGGCACTGCCCGCAACCCCCCACATAAAGCCTGCGGGTGAATTTCCATGCCTCTCTTTTTGGTCTGCCTCGTAGATAGGAGGGGGGAAATAAGCCCTGATGATGCAACTGGGGTGGGAGACACCGTGGTAGTAAAGGGCAATTGGTCCGTGAAGGTGGTAGTTCCCCATAAGGCTCTATAAGCTCCCTGGCCGTATGGCTCATTGGTATCCGTCACAGTTGCATTGTGGATATAGCTGTATTTTGTGTACGTGGGATCGCCAGCTAAGTGTGAAACGCTCGCAAACGGTGCAGCATAGGGCTGGTAACTCAAAGGAGATGGTAGGGGAGTGGCATAGCGAACCGTTGTCATAGGTGTATACGAAAAGACGGCAGTCGGTTGTAGAGCCATCGAGGGCCTATGGTCTGGAGATGCTTGGGAACCCTTGGTAAACATAGCAACTACCAGGAGAAATATGCAGTAAGCCTTAGAGACATCAATTAGCCCAGATGCTTACCAGCTTGCGGTGTAGTCATACCTAATAACTATACCTTACTCGGAAATAGATCTGCGCTCGATCTTAATTGTGTCTTCAAGTTACCTAGGCCTGCACTCGCTGTAAATGCAAAAACTTGAAGCGACCACATTTCGATACGGAGAATCATAACCGGCCCTTACAAAGTTTACCGATTTTGAGCCGAGCGAGAGTCTGTCATATTTGTAAGATTTGTAAGATTTTGTAAGGGCCGGTTAATTGTAAGCCCTCCAGGGCTCACACCTTGAATGTCTCCGATGATGCCGGTTGAATTGAGAAAAGTATTCAGTGACCCTGTATTCAATCGTGTACCTTTTGGAGGGATATTTATGAGTATTTATTGACTCGAAAATATGTAGAAATCGTGCTCATACGGATTCACGTATCAAAAGTAGAGCAAAAATAGGAAACCACCTGGGCAGAAAGAAGACAAATTAGCCGACTCCAAACCGATATGCCGTATGGGCACGGGTTAGCGCAAGTCGTTTTGAATAACCAGATCAAGGGACGCTAAAAGTCGGAATTTCCGGGTTATTTGACGAATCCTCAACCCTACCTAGGTAGCCCTACGAGTAGACCTCACACTCAGGACCCACCACCAGCACCTCCGAGGGTCAGGGTCGGTCACTTTGGACTTGGACCCTCCGAGGGACTCTTGAGGGTCGCGGGGGGGGGGTCCGTCCCACCGTTGAATACATAATTTCTCTGCGCCTTTCCTATCCGGATGAGAGAGATGGAAGAACGCTGCAACTGGGGAGGCATTTATTGATACCTGAGTCAAACATCCAGGCCGCGACTCCATGACAGCCTTTGCAAAATAGTAAACAATTTATAATACTAGTATACTTCAGGAGACATTGACTAAGATGAGCCTCGCTCCAGCATGTGAAACTGTTCAAAAACTGCCACTCCAGTGATTGAAGACTCTAGCACGGACTCAGACGATGAATCCATCCCCACCTCCACCACCTCACCCTTTATACTCCCCGTCCATCGCATATAATACTCTCCATCCCCAGCTACTTTAGATTCCGTAGAGACATTCACTCTGAGCCGTTGATATTCCCGTAAGGCAAAATCAAGCTTGAATCCATCTGGGATATCGCCAACGTACGGCGGGTATCGGGACCCAGTCGTGTTCGGGCTCCCGGTAGGACGAACAGTGAGGAGCGAAACATCGCAAGCATCGACAATAGTCTCGCCATCACGAGCCACGTAGCTACTGACATATGTTGTGTTAGTGGGGTCGTTGATGGCGAGGTAACTGAACCAGACAATCGAGTATGCTCCGAGTCGGCCATGGCCCCAGTACCAGCTTCGGACGGACTCGGTGAAATTTCGATCGGACCAATTCTATTCGTATAGTGGTCAGTGATCATGATTTGTAGGATTTAAGGTATCCCTGATTCACCTTGTCATGATAGGCAGCGCCTACAAAGTCCAACCGAGACCCTCGGATGGTCATGTCGACGGATCCCACGGCATCAGGTACCAGATTCACCCACCCGACGTGAGGAGCAATCTGTAAAGACGTGGTATCAGACTGAACACCGCAGGGTAGATGAGGAGGAGTACTCTTACACAGCAGTCAACAATCAGTAGATGAACTAGAAAGGGGAAAGCAGATAGAAGGAAGACAAACCGAAGTAAAACTCAACTTCCCCTTGACGTCCAACTCTGGCGAGTTCACCGATACCTCATAAGCCGATAGATCCTCTTTCGAAGCATTCCATTGAAGCCCCGTGTCATTCCACATCCCCGAACTCACGTTCCCATCTGCCTCTGCTTCTCCATCTCCACTGATATCAACCGTCGCCAGGGTCGCAGGAAGATAACCAGACCATGAAGACCCATTGCGGAACGAAGCCCAAGCATACGCGATAAGCACAGATTCCTGCGTCGAATCCAAAAAGGGAAACGCATCAGCCGTGGAGGTAAAAAAGGTCAAGACGAGCGATTCGCGCGGATCATCCAAGGAAACCGCATCAAAGTACCACCAGTCAAAAACGGAGCTATTGATTGAACTGAGCATTGGCGCATCGAGGCTCTGTCGGCTCTGAATGCCCAATTTGCCGCCGGGGGTGTCGACTTCGAATCTTGCATGGGCTGGTCCGTTCTGGACTGTTGCTGGAATGCGATAGGTCGAATGGGAGGTGGAGAATGTTGATGCGAAGCCCAGCGCGAATGCTGCAGCTGCTGTCAGGATGACGGTCCAGCTCAAGGTGAATGCGGCCATAATGAGACACTCTGATGAGGATTGTAGTAAATTAGGAGCAAGGTGTGAAAACGAGAAAGGGCTAACAGGACAACGTATTCTTCTACCGCGGGGAAATGTTTGCTCGTTTGATAAGTCCTCAGCTGCGCAGTACAGTGCAGTGCAGTGCAGTGCAGTGCAGGACAATATTCCGTACTCTGTACTCCGTACAGTGCAATGCAATACAGGCTTCGGCTATAAGTACAGTGCAGGATCTGAAACCCACCAGATCGCTCGATGGTGCCACAAAACGCCCCTGAAGGATCGATGGTAGCAAGCCTTTTGACAGGATCGGGCTGGAACAGGGCCATACCGGGCGTGGAAGTAGATAAAGAGATCCTCCAGTAGCTTAGCGGGAAGAAAAGGCCAATCGTGGGTACAGGACGAGATGTTGAGTGGATATCAAGGGATAGAGTGGCATCGGATCGAATTAACCTTTCATTGTCTACAAAGGGGGATCGGGGAGGAATAGGAAATCAAGCGTAACATCAACATAAGAGCTGAAAGAAATGAGATGTCAATAATTGCACAGTTGCTATATACCATCAAAGCACTGGACTCGAAAAGACCAAGTGCGCTGGATCAAGTCACAGGGAGAAATCAAATACACACGTCACACGTCAGGCTAGTAATCAGAAAAGAAAAAGAAAGAAAAAATGAAAAGAGAAGGTGAAATCGGAGGAAAAGCCAAACACAAAGATCAAAAAAAAAAAATACACAGCCCATCCCAGATGCCCAGTTCACCTTCGCCAGAAACAAAGCTTTCAAACAATCAAGTCAAATCAAATCAAATCAAATCAAATCCTGTGATATCAAGTCAAATCAAATAGATCCCCGACTCCCTCAGGCCACTGTGGGTCCCCAATCCGTCGTCTGCGTGTCCTCCCCCGAAAATAGATACAGGAGGGGAGGGGAGAAGTACCCGATGGTGGATGGTAGATGGTAGGTGGTAATGTGGTAGGTCGTATATAGTAGATGGTATGGGTGACGGCGGATGCGGAGGATGCCACATGGATGCAGAAACCGATCGTTCACTAGACTCGTCCATTGAGGACGGGGCTGCCGTCTTCACTACGGCCTTCTCCTTTGAGATCGGCGTTGTGGTTGGTCGAATCCGAATCGCCGTCCTTGCCGCAGCCCTTGACCAGAATGTGCCTCTGTAAGAAGTTAGTGGGGTTCCCAATGATATCCCGGGAGTGATTCCATGTACATACCTTGAGGGCATCCTTTCTGGAGAAACTCTTATCGCAGTGCGAGCATGGGAAGGGTTTCACGGCCAGATGGATTCGCTTATGCCGCTTCAGATCATGATTTCGATTGAAACTCTGCGGGCATTGGTCGCATTTGAACGGACGATCGGCCGCGGGGGCGGGCATGCCATGAGGTGGCGGATGACCTCCATAAAGATGCTGGGCACTGGCGACATGTCCGCTGTTGAAACCCGGGAGTAAGCCTGGTTGCATGCCACCCATCATCGACATGGGGCTGTTGGGGCTATGGACATTGGTCATGACGGGACCATTCATGGCGGGGAGCGAGTAGGAGGGCCATGGTTGACGCGGATAGGCGAGGGGTGGTTGGCCGCCGGGACTTTGCGCGGACATGCGCGCCTGTGGATGAATGCCCAATCCGGCCGGGCTCATGGCGGGAGGGGCGCCATACATCGGGGAGAAGCCGGTCTGATGCGGACTGGGCATATGGGCCGATGGGCCGTACATCGGGGGTCCTTTCGGGGTGCCATAGGGATCGTTGGATGGCAACGGGGCGGGCGAAGTCGCGTGGCCGTGGCCGTGACCATGAGCTTGATAAAGAGCCATGGAGGACGGGGGAGCGGGCAAAGCCTGTGGGAAAGTCAACGAGGGAGTCTCGAATGGCTGCGACAGTCCATCCGCGGAAACGGGGGCCATCGCGATGGTCGAACGACCCACCATCCCAGACGGCGAGAAGGAGTTGCGCTGTGCGTAGGCCGGGTTCATTCCAGACCACGAGGCGACACCTCCTGTGCCGGCCGTACCCGTTCCTTGAGCACCGTACGGGGTACCAGGCCAATAGGTCGGCGGTAGTTCAGACGAAGAGACTGGGGCAAGTGAGTGGGAGACGGTGCTCTCGCCAGACTGGATTGTGGCCGGGGGTGTCAGCAGATTGCCCACACTCACATTGGCGGGAGGTTGAGAAGATGAAGCTGGAGGCAAATTGTGATTGTGATGCAGATTGGAGGGGAGGGACGACCACTTGGCAGCGGGTTGATTCTGGGGGATGTTGGTGGAGTAATGGGCGTTGTTGGCGTTGGCGTTGGCGTTGGTGGCCGCCGCCAGGGTAAACGGTGGCGGAGGCAACTCAAAGCTGGGGAGTGTCGGAGCAGCAGGACGACGAGTATTTAATGTTAAAGAATGAGCGGTGGATAAGTCCAGAGCCGACCCCATCGCAGGGGCCGGAGTCGGATTGACAGCGAGAGTCGCCAGGTTGGAGGTATCGCGAGCGAAAAGCTCTTCGGGGATGGCGGAGGGGAGAACAGCAGCCGCAGCCTGAGCCGTCGCAACAGGAAGACCGTAGGAGGAAGCGTGTATAGACCAATCTCGACCTTCAGATAGGGCCCCCGAAGGGCTCGAAGGATCCAGGAGGGGCGAGTGTCGATCGCTGAGGGTTGCGATCGGAGAGCACTGAATGACAGTGGAGTGGAGTGGCGGAGGTGGAGGTGGAGGTGGAGGTGGAGGTGAAAGGCAGATGGAGGTGGAGGGAGATGGAAAGGATTATCAAGAGATTAGGAGAAGAGAGAGAGAAAGAGAAAGAGAGAGAGAAGAGAAGGAGAAGAAAGTCACGGTCGATAGCGCATGGTATGGAGGTATGGAGTAGGAGAGAGTCAAGAGTTGGAGAGGAAGAAGAGTGGAGCGTGGCGTCGAGGCGCGCGGGGAAAGGAATATAAAGAAAAGTTTAGGGAACAAGAGATATCAGAGTTAATTTGGGCGATAGCTCATTAGTATTACTAGTACTAGCCCAAAAGGAATAAATAGAATGGGCCTAGAGGGTCTCAGAATGGTTAGAGTAAACGAGGTAAATAAAAGAAATAAAATAATCAAAAGAATGGGAGGGCCCACGGTCGGTGCGGGCCTGGAACGTGGTTGACATGAGGTTATACTCAGTATGATCGGATAGTCTAGTATACATCGTATACGATCGTATCTATCATGACTATGATTGTCATTCTGACCTCGGAATTAGTTTCGATTTACAGAACTGTTAGGGTTTTAGGGTTCCCAAAGAATGGTGTGGTGGTGTCGACAGAGTGGGTGTAGTGTACTATGTATAGTGTGTATAGTGTGTATAGTGTGTATAGTGCGTATAGTATGTATAGTATGTATAGTATAGTAATATCGTAGTATAGTAGTATACAGAGTATACATGGTATACATGGTCTGTGTTGACTATATACTCCGTAGTGTATAGTACTATAGTATACAGTGTACACCGTGCACTCCGTACACTGTGTACTCACAGTGTACTCACAGTGTATTATCCTCTGTCAGTATAGACAGACATCTCTGGCGAGCACCCTCTTGCTCTGATTGGCCCAAAGCAGTCAGGTCATCTGCCTCCACCCAAAAAAGACTCGAGACTTTTCTGTCGGGTCTAAGCCCAACCCTTTCTCTCTTCTCTCTCTTTTCTCTCGCTCTTTTCCCTTCCTCCACTTTCTCCATCCAATCATTCCTCGTATTCAATCCCCAATCCCCGGGTCGCCGGGTCCAGATCGGGGGTGAGCGAAACAGAGCGAGAGACCTGGTGAGGTGAGATGAGTCCACTTCTCTCTTTTCTCTCTCTCTCTCTCTTTCTCTTTCCCCCCTCTCTCGCCTCGTATGGCCCATGGTCCCTGGTCCATGGTCCATTCTTTTTTTTCTTTGGGTCTCCACTTTCCATATGGCAATGGTCTACTCCCTCTCCTCCCTATGGGTTGGTACGGAGTATTCACAGAACTAGACTACCACCGACTCCGTGTACTCCGTACTTCTCCGCCTCTCGATCAATCTCGCCTCTTCTCACTTTTTTCTCTCCCATGGAACATCCGCTGTCAGGCGAATCCAAATCGTAATGTAATTTTCAATTTGTTCAATTTGCCCGATGGATCCATCGCTCGCTCCGTCCCGTTTGTGCCTGTGCTTTGCCTGTCTCCAGCATGCCGCGCATCCCTAGTGTCTCGTTTAGCCTTGGGCATTCCACTTGGCATTGGCATTGCCTACGGATTAATCTGTACGAGTAATCTGTACGAGTACAGATTAAATCTTTTTTTCCTTTTCTTTTTCTTTTCTCTCTCTCTCTCTCTCTATTTTTCCCTCTTTTCCCCCTTTTAATTCCCCCCCCATCCCCACTCCATCACAACCGGGTCTGCATGGGTTCATGCAATCATGTGGCCGGGCTAAAATGCATTCCTTTATGCCCTAAAATAATACAATCATCCCAATCATAATGATAATGATAATATCCCACTCCGTATTATATTAGCCAATGTAATTTAAAAAAGGGGCAAAGGCAAAGCAAAGCAAACCTATCACGGAGGGGTCCCCGTACATTCCATTCCTCCCCTTCCATTCCATTCCATTGCTATCCGAATCCTTTGTCTCTTTTGTTTCTAGCGTCTCGGGTATTCAGGGCTCCAACGCTCCAGCCAGTCCAAAACACCCGAGCGTCGCAGTGCTCCGTCGTATCGCTAACAGGAATAGTCTCGGACGGTCTACCACTCTCGTCTCAGATTCCGGAACGATACAAACAAAGACTCCGCGTGGTAGCGAGATGGAAAATAGGGGGAGGGGAGGCGATTCAGATCCTCCATACTCTTTTGTAAGAATATCACCATGCGACTTCCACCACCATCACCACCACCACACCACGATCGTCGATCCCAGCCCACCATCGATCCGGTCCATCGCCGATTTGCTGTCGGGCTCCAGTCTCATGCAAGGCGGCTCCAGCTCCGGTCCTGGCCCTGATGTGACAGCGCGAGTGGATCTCGCTCGAGCCATGCGATCGTCAAATCCACGTCGGTTCATCCCGGTGGCTTCGGGCGTCGCGGCTGGCGTTGACGCCCTCCTGCCGATCCATCGCCAGTGGCACTCCTCTAGCCAGTGCCAGTGCTCCTAGCTTCTGAACCCGGGAGATCTACACTGACTGTTGAAGTGGGTATATCAATTAGCACGGAGTACTCCATAGTCTGTAGGTAGTCTATAAGGCAGAGCGGTGGAGTTTCGCAGGTAGCTGAGCAGGGTGAAAGGATTGATGGTGGAGGTGGATTGTCCGCTGCTAGTACGTAGGTAGTCTGTCCTCGGTAGTGTGTCCATAGCCGACCCATTCTCTCTCCCTCTCACTTTTTTTTTTTCCTTTTTTTCTCCCAGCTGGAAGTGGAGCAGGTGATAAGTCGAGCGTGGCAAACAACTGCAGGTTGATGGAGCAACGCGGGTAATCCGGCCATCATGGATGCGATGGATGTGTAGAGTCAGAATATTAGAATATTAGAATATTAGAACTTGAATATTACTACCAGTATACCAGTACGGAGTACTCCGTATACGGATCCAGGTTACCTAGGTATACATCTAATCTTAGGCTACAAGCATGCAGTAACCCCCTGTCCAATATTCTAGTATTCCTAGAGTCCAGGCACAACGCAGTGTAACGTTGTACTAGGAATAATATTTGAAGAGGCTACTAATACTAAGTATTACTCGTAGCCTCGAGATTGCTGGTATATCTGAAGGCTCGCAGAATACGTGTATTTCAAGTTTAACTTCACCTGTTGAACTGAATGCTACCACAAGTGGTATTACCTAGCATATACTCATTATATATCTCCAAGGCTATCTCTGCTAGTCCGAGGTTGGAGCTGGCTACGGGCACAATTCGACCTCGGAACTACAGTTAATTCCCATTCAGTTACTATTTATTATACCAGGTAGTATCTAGAATAATTCCAATCAGTGTCTGCTAGTAATAATATAACTATCTACTCGATCTGTATGAACCGGAATGTTGCTCCGATGACATCATCTGGCGGGGTCGACTCCAACAGTTCGCCCTTCTTCACTTCAACTTGACTTGCATTCACACACACACACACACTCTCTCTCTCTCTCTCTCTAAATCACACTCACACTCACACCTACACTTACACTACACCCACCCTACACCACCTCGATGTCTGGAATTAGCAAGGCCTGCTGCTCGTTCGTCTCCAATGCCTGCCGACTACCCATCCACTGACCATGACAACAGCATCCCGCCCGTCGTCTCCAAGGGATACAAGGCCAAGGGCAGCTATCAGACTATCAATGGCCTGAAGACATGTACGCAGACCTTGATTCAGTGCAGTGCACTCTGCTCATTGCAATGTGCGAAGCTAACAACCGTGCAGACGTCACGGGCCCCGAGACTGCCACCAAGGCCATCCTGCTCGTCTACGGTGAGTACCAGTGGACTGCGAGTTCCTACATACACTCTCCAACTGGCCCTGGCACAGAATGCATCACGATAGCTAACACTACACCCGTAGACATCTTCGGCTTCTTTGACCAGACCATCCAAGGCGCCGACATCCTCGCCACCTCCAACGACCAGAAATACCGCGTCTACATCCCCGATTTCTTCGAAGGCAGCCCCGCCGACATCTCCTGGTACCCTCCCACCACCGACGAACACAAGCAGAAGCTGGGCAACTTCTTCCAAACCCAAGCCGCACCGCCCAAGACCCTCTCCAAGATCCCCGATATCGTCAAGGAAGCCAACCAGGCCGCCCCCGGCGGAGCCTTCCAATCCTGGTCCATCCTGGGCTTCTGCTGGGGCGGAAAGATCGCTGCCCTCTCCGCCGGTGCCGATAACAAGATCTTCAAGGCGGCTGCACAGTGCCATCCCGCAATGGTCGATCCCAACGATGCCAAGACCATCAACGTGCCTTTCGCCTGCCTGGCGTCCAAGGACGAACCGGCCGATGACGTGAAGGCCTTCAAGGCGAATCTGACCGTGCCCAACCACGTGGAGACTTTCTCGACACAAATTCACGGCTGGATGGCCGCTCGTTCCGATTTGGAAGATCCCGAGGTTGTCAAGGAGTATGAGCGTGGGTACAAGACAGTGCTGGACTTCTTCCACAGCCACGCTTAAATGAGGTGCATGGATGGGGGAAATAGTTGGATTCCCTAAAAGCCTAGGCAGCGAGCTACGCAGCGAGTGAAATGAATATATGTGCAATGCCGAGCATTCTCCCCGAGGAGAGAGTAGAGTTCCAGATCTTTGATCAACGGGGAGGGGAAGCGAAGGCGAAGTACGGAGTAGACGAACAACCGAACAAAACGATGAAATGACCAAATAAGCTTGGAGCTTACATATTTCCAAACAATCCTCATAAAACCCCCTTGGTTCTCGATCGGGCCAAACTCGGGTATGTCGGCCCATTTGCCGTTTGCCTTCCCCGTTGCATTTGGCAGTTCCGCCGCGTGCCGAGGATCAGTGGGGCCATCACTCTTGGACTACTTCAACCCACTTGAAGTCATTACTTCATTACTTCATACATCTAGCACAGCAATAACACTGAACATAATATTCCGCATCTGATATGTGCTAAACGACTTCCTGATGCCTCTCTTCGGGCGACGTCGCTCGCTATCGGTCGACGAGAGTACCGGCACAGAGCAACTTCCATATCATCCGGCCCGGGGCCCTCATGAAGCTAAAGAAGGGGTCTTTCATGGACTATTTCGCAGACGTAGCGATGTATCGATACCCCCGAAGTCACATCGACGTGAAAAAATCCAGGTTGGTCCACTCACTCAATCTAATTCAATCTCAATCCAGTGGCGAGAATACTGAGAGGAATACAGGATCATCAAGCCCCGTCCCATACAGGACTAGATAGAACTTCAAGGCAAAAAAGCCGAGATGAATCTTCTCATAGTTCCGGGGATTCCACCCCGACTGACGCGTTGGCTGCAGCTCATACCGAGCCAAAGCAACCAGGGAACATCCAGGATTATCTAGAGCACCGAATTGACATGGCTAGCAAGCCACGAGAAGACCCGGGTTCGACTGTCCCGGTGGAAGATCGGATTCTAAGCAAGAAAGAGATCAAGGCGATCCTCTCAGGAGCACCACATTTCTTACTGGAACGAGGCAAGCATAAACGCTGGTATCCCCAAGTTATCTTCCCCTGGGATGATCATCGCCCATCCATCCAGCGAATGCTGGATCGCAAGCCGCTTTCTCATCCGGCTTTCACTCTATGTACTCTTCATGCCCACCTGCCCGTGCCAGACGACTGGGCCGTGAGAGGGGGCGTACCGACTCCAATCGAATGCTGGGGGCGAAGCGACGCCTCCAAAAGAGCCACCTTCGACGTGGGCATATTCGAAGTCCCAAACATGCTCGGCAACAATGGTCGAGAACCGGGGACTGTGGGCTTCCGACATTTCCTTGAATTACCAATATCGGACGCAAGAAGATACACTGGCCCGGAAGAGCCACGCCAGGCCCCCAATATCCTGCGCGTGAATTCTCTACCAGCAACGGAGGCCTTTGATCTCATGGAAAACTACAACAGGCCTTATTCGCAGTGCCTGAGTGGAGCTGTCTATGATAGGCGACAACTGATCCGAGATGGTCCGAATGCCTGGAAGCGCATCGGAGTCCGCGACATCAACTTACGGACTTTGACGAAACGGATCGACCATCTGCGACAGATTCGTCGCGGCGTGCTTCGTGATGGTTCAACAAGTACCATACTCGATTTTGAAACATCGCACGAGCAGCATGACCTGCTACATTCGCAGTTTCTCTACCCCCGCCCACCACTGGCCGACGTGATGCCGGGACACCCCCAAAGCACCAAGTCTCAGATCAAAACATTGACCACGGTGTTGGCTACTCCTGGAGCATGGGTGGATTTCAGCTTGCCGGAATGGCGCTTTCGGGCAGGCCAGCTACTCTGGGAAGTATCTCGCCAGGGAACATCCTCGAAGACGTCAAAAGAGCCATGGATAAATGATGGTATGGAAAGGAAGTGGCTGCTGGTTCAGCTGCTTCTTGCAGCCGAGCTACTCTTCCGCCTCGATGCCTTTGTCCGCATTGATATGCTACACGACCCCCATGGTGGCCAAATGACGGTTCAAGAAGTATACAATTTCGATAAACTTCGCGAAGGCAAGGTAAACTGGGATCTTGTTGTCGTGCGCCGCTTTCTTGACAATCTCGAAATGGGATGTCCATCGATCTCGCCAGCGGCATCTGCTGAACAGAACACACCCACCAAGACAGGTCGGCTTTCATTCTTTGAGTCTATCGGCCGTCATATCTCTTCTGCCACTGAAAAAGCCGACTTGTGCTCCCCCTGGCAATGTCATATAAGCTCGCCCCACACCCGACAACAACTTGAAGGATTATACAACTTCGCCGAGAATATCGGCTGGCCAAAGATGGATGCGTTACGGTCTACCTTTGAAGAAATGCTACGAAGAAACAGGAGTATCTTCTTTACTCAGCCAACCGATATCCCTCGCGACCAGGAAAATACACCCATCCAGCCCGGCGCGGCACTACTGGCCGACGAAAAGAACATGTACAGTCGTAGCGCATCACGTCGTTGCGTTCGACTCCACAGCACCTGTCCAGAAGATGGCGATCTGCAAGGCAATGAGCCTCTTGGCTGGATTTCTCGAAGCTGGCTCTCTGGATTTGTGATTCCTGGCGAAGCCATCTGCCACCTCCTCATCGGGACGCTACTCGAAAACGATGAGGAGGCAATGCAGCAGCTTGGCGCGATGGCGAATCTCTACGGTGGCTTTGCTTACGCAGGACGCAGTTGGTGGAGTAAATCGTGCATTGTTGGGCGTGTCTTGTCTAGTCTGGAAAATACAAAAACTTGCATGGGGTGGGTCGGAAGTGATATACTTCCCCGCGATGTAACTACATTGGAGGTACTAGCACATGGTTGGTTTGAAGTTGCGGTCGAAAAACCGTTGGAGCGGTCGGGAAAAGCCAGAATCAAGCAAGGAGGGAAGCTTGCGGCTGAGTCGACGCCGCTGGGGATGGGAGATATCACAGCTGATGCATTTACTCTGCCCATTGACCTACCAGCGTCGACGCCAACTACCGTCAGCTTGGGTGCATTAACCTTGTCAGTCAGCACTTTGATTAATCGAGGCATCACAACCAGTGAAGAGACATCGCTTTCTTTCTCCTTGCAGGAAGAGGGAAAAAGCTCGACTGCTGCAGTATCCTTCCCACTGAAGCATAACGTGCGGTTTATATCAGCCCATGCATGTCTCCCACCGCTTGGCTTTACATCACACCATCACTCTCACCACGAGCAACCATTGGAAGACGAGGCTGTGGCTAATAACAGCCAAGAGAAACCCTCAACCTGGGGTCAGTATACACGTCTCCCTGGTCATCCCTTACACCGGTCTTTCCCGTATCAACATGTGCTACTTGACACCCTCCCCAACCATCGGGGCCCGCAAGCCACACCAGGGTCCAGTGCAGACAAAGAAGTGCTAGTTATCGACGCCCGTGGACCTCGAGCAAACGAAACTTTTGTGCGAGCCTGGTGCGCATCAATTGGCAGCCACGCGCTCATCGGTCGTGCGGGGCGAACCTGCGTGGCATGTTGTGTGCGAGAGGCAAGGGCAGTGGATGTTCAAGTCGTGGTGCGAGTCGGGGAGTGAGCGACATTTGCCTTTCATCGTCGTCACAGCACCAGCGATCATCTCGCCATTGTCCCTCTCGCCATCGGCGTTGATAAACACAAACTCGCCCCCTCACGACGATCCTTTCCACATGGCTTGTCAAAAAGGGGGAGGAGGGGGCAAAAAGAAAGGCCGCACCAAGTGGCAAAATGGAGTTTCCTGGGATTGTTCGGATTAGGTACCCCCCGGGGAAATGAGTCGATTCCTGAATGGCATTTATGCGAAGGAGTTACTATGTACGGAGTACTTCTACCATGTATGTGATTTTGACTTCCCCATTCTAGTTCTGTTTCGTGGGGAACATATCTCGGCATTTCGCCGGTAAGCCCCTATTTTTGGGGACAAAATGTACTATGACCTACTACGGTGTAGGGCAGATTGGGTCCCCATTTACCCGGTCAAGCCGGTGCAAAGCCCTGGAGACTTCGGGGAGAAGAATCGATAAGCAAGTCCATCATTTCGCAACTCTGGTTACCGCGTGCCACCCAGAAAGGAAGGAAAATCAGGTACTCCGTACTCCGTACATAGCGTAGCCGAAGTTCCAGAACTCCATTGCATCGACAACATCCATAGTGGCTCGCATGTGGCAGGGAACCACTCGATAGTTATGTCGGGAGTTGAACAAATCAAAGCGGACAGGGAAAAAAAGAGCCCTCTCCATAAGCATGGGTAGCAGAGCGAATCACAGGGAATGGGAGACCATATCCACTCCAAGCTCCCCGATTAGGATCCACGCATAGGGCAGTGCAGACCCAGAGGAAAAAAATTCTTCCTGGGGGACGCGTAAGTGCGAGTTGCAGGTTTACACGAAACGGCCAAATAAGGACAAGGGCCCGAAAATGGTGAAACAGCGGACTCCCCGTTGGACCCACGCCAAGGGACCAGTGAGGGTCTTACATCGAGGGTCCACTACGATCGGAATACCCGGACAGATCTTGAGAATACGGAGTACGGAGGGGATGCTGAAGACTATATTTTCCGTGCTCCGTAGGGGAGTGTAGATGCGAGGCATCCGATCTAAAGTTTGGAATATGGAGATTCCGATATGTATACATATTCAAAGATGGACTGTACTAGCAGCAGTTATAGTTTGTCACAGAGTCTATACCCCCTGAGTGGAGTTGTGAGCCTTCGAGTGGTCATCTTTCTTCTTCTTTCCACTCATCCACTGGTATGTCATCCTCCAGGGCTGTCTTGGGTAATCTAGGGCTTCTGAACACTATCCGAAAATGCCACCGTGCGGAAGCTACCTGACATACTCACCGAACCAGTTGCAAGAAAGCAATCGAGACATGATAGAAAACATTAATACTCCGGAAACTAACATCTCAAAGTAGTATCAATGCCGAAGGATCCTACATCGAAGGTGTGGGCAGACAAGAACAGTGGGCGGACAATCAATGCAGGATGCGCGCCATAAAAAACCAAAGAAGCAATCCCGCGCCCGGCAGTTGGAGTTTGGCAGGCAGCCTGATTAGTTTGCTAAACCTATTGCGGTCTAGTGAGAGGGTCAATAGTGCACGTCAGCCAGTTGACGGAGATGTTGTCCAGATAGAGAAGGGTCGGTACGAAAGGCTTGTAACAGTGTTTGAGATAGGTATGAAGGGTCCGACGAGAGCGTTGAATGTATCTCTAAAGTTGGAGTATAGCTACCAACCAACCTAAAATCCATCGGCCAGGCTATCATCTTGGAACTATCTGCTGATTCACTGGTTTAGTTCGGATGAATACTCTACTAGTGGTTAGAGGAGAGAGAGAGAGAGAGAGGAGAGCCAAATCGGATGTCTCAGATGTCTCAGATGTCTCCAGAGATCCAATTCAGCCCTGGACCCTGGTTTCATGAACCGATCGCCGCCGCGACGTTTCAACCGAGAACCGAAGCCCTCTTTCTTTTGCGGTGTTTTTTTTTTTTTCGACCTAACTTTTAGTAGTATTTTATTCATTTTTATTCTCCGACATGTGGCCGGAAATAGTCCCACATAGGATCTCGCGTCAACTGCAACTGCAAATGCACCCCGACCTCTTGGGATTGTGCATATTTGCCCCTCCTCCCTTGATGGCCAATCACCAACCGACTCCTGGCTTCTAACAAGGTCCGGGCTACTGTCGATCGTGCACCTATAACGTGGCCGTGCGGGGCTTCAATCTTCTCCAAAAGGGCGGTCGGAGGAAAGCATATGGCTCCATGAGAGTAGGTGGGAATACGGAGTGATGCAGACGCAATCAACCCCTCTGGTCAGAATGACGATCTAAGGTGATTGGCCACGAGCATATCTTCTCACATCATCCCAGCCCCCAAATGGTGCTGATCGCGTCGCGAAAAAGGTTGTTAATTTACAGCCCTACCTGAGATCATCGGAAAAGAGGAGGAGAAAGATGGATATGATGGAGTAGGAAGAGGAGGAGGAGGAGGGGAAGGGATATCGCCGATGCCCACCCCCTTTTTTGGGTTAATTGGCTCATGGTTTGGGGGTGACAGGATGACTTGCCATACTTAATTCCCTTCTTTGTCTTTATGGGCTCCATCGCAGATCGCTAGCCCCTTTCCATGAGGGAGGTGATAGTCCGGATCGTATGGAGTGCATACAGAACCTCCCTTTCCCTTCCGAGGTTCCCTTCCGCGTGGTTGCCCCATGCAAAATGGAAGTTCGCTTGAGGCTTCGAAGAACAAAAAAGAACGATGATCGTGGAACACCATTCCTCGTTCCGACGGGTGCCAAGTGTACATTCTGTAACACGCTACGGCGTTTCGACGATCCTTAATTAAACCTTGACCACCGGATCCACCACAGCGGGTCCTTGTTACAGTCTCAGACTCGATCGTTTCCTGCATCTGCCCCCCCTCCCATCCCTCTCGTTGCGAGTAACTAGATACGTGCAGTGGTGACCAATACCTTCTTCGAGTCTTTCGGATTGGGATCCAACTTGGGCGTAGTCGCTAGAAGCGAAGGTTTCTGGGCGCTGATTTCATACTCGGTTTTCTCCGTGTGAACTAAACCAACAGATGATGCTCAGGATGCTACTACGGAGTATTTACTTCTGATATTCACAGAGTGCTCCATCATGTATGTACTTCGTGTCGAGACTGAGCCACTCCAGCTGAACCCCAACTACATATGCTCCACCGACTTCGTAAAAAAGTTCGATATTAGGATTGACATGATTGCCCAACTGGAGTCTGTCAATCCAAGGTACGACAGGGGGGGTCCGATGGGGGTTCCGCGTAACTCTCTGCGGGTACGAAGAGTGACTAAGGAGCGATCCTTTCCCATTGGCGGCTGAATTGGAGAAGCTGTTGGCATGGCTATTGTTTCAACGCAGTTGAAGTTAAAAGTGGAGGTGGTAAAATAACGTACACGAGTTCGAACCTAGTTTGGTTAACGGGGGGGGGAATGTCATTCTACATCCACTAGGGAGATTAAGCTACGACGCCGGTCCAGGTTTCGAAAAGGAAAAGAAGCCCCATCGAAAAGGGGGTTGTAGGCTACCGAGGTAGACCAGTGCCAAAATGGAAGTGCATGGCATAGTAAAATGCAAAATGATGACCAAATGTACTACTCTACGACGTATAGAGGATTAGCTACATTTGTAACCGAAGTACTCCGTAGTAGTCCGGAGATTGAAAAGAAATAAAGAAAGAAAGCATACGGAGGACGGACTACACATATCCCAAACAGGAGCAGGAAGAAATTAAACGATCTGATCCATTGCGTGCTGGGCTCGGTCGGGGCTAATACAACATCAGCCGTGGACCCTGAATCTGTTTTTAGCATCGCATCTCTGGTTCGGTAAAGGTGGATTTCCGTTCGAATTTTCTCCACGACGGCGGACTCCGATGTCTACCAGAGATGAATGCAGGCAAGGGGAATCCTGATGAAGCAGCAAATTCTTCTATCTTCTTGAGGGATTGGAAGGCCAGGAAAATCAATCCCAATTGTACGGCACACTATACATATGACGCTATACTATTTGGACCGATAGACTGTCTTCTCGAAGCCACCAAGGTTCTAGTCTAGTGTGATCACCTCCGGAAATAACCAGAGAGAGAAGGTTCTTTGAGGAAGAGGGGCCTAGGAACAACAAGCTCATTGGTTCGAAGAGCCGACCCAAGCTCGCTTCGCCAATCAACCCGGGACTTGAAGGACGCATTCCCCAGTTCATCAAGGATTGACAGCTGCATAACAATAACTCAGCTAGATTTGGGTCTGGCACAGAGGACAAGGCCTCTGACCACATGCATCCACCCACCCCACTGTGTCAGGGCTCCCAGACCATGGTTCCTCGTCGCCTCATTTGCCATGAACCAGCCTGGGGGGGTCTATCGTACGCAATCAGGGGCTATTCGAAGTTACATAATCGGGGCCATGGCGGTACGGAGATGTACATGGGCCGACTGCTTATGCACAGCTGTCTACATTATTAGATGTGTTTTCCATCTTGCCGTCAGGGCAAACGAAATGAGGAGGTACCTAAGTACGGAGTATTCAAGGGAAGAAATAGCTGGGGGGGAAAAGGAGCGTACATACTACTACGCACTACTAGAGTCTATTCTGAAGAATTAAGTCCTACAAGTATGAATCCAAAAGTGAATCTACATAAAAGGAAGTTCTCCCCCTGAGATCATCGATACCTCCATGACCTGCAGTTGAGTTGGGCCAAGTCGATACATCCCTCTTCGTCCTAGTGTCGGTCTGATGCAGAGCCACTGTGTTCCACGTCTGGTGGAATAGGTAGAAACTGTGGGATTTTTTTTTTGATTTTCTATTTTCTTGATTTTGATTTTTCCCTTTTCCCTTTTGAACCATATTTTGTATTTTTTTTTCTGAACAGCAAAGCAGTCCCTGTCCCCCAAAAAATAATAAAATAACAAAAACCAGTCCTTGGGGCGTTTCACCCCGCGATTAGCTTGTTCTTCTCCCTCGACTCTATAGGACATCTTTCCTACCCTTCATCTTTTTTTTATTTTTTTTTATTTTTTT